AAAGGAGGAGGCTGCAATGCTTGGTAAGAAATGTACGCATTATCCTGCCCATGTAATTGTAACCCCTCTGTACAGTATCTTCACAAATAAAATAATAAAAAAAAGAAATGACATTGTTAGAAAAACATAACCAAGATCAGTGGGGCAAGTAATAGCCCACTGATATCCAAGATGTTAGTTTTTGTTGCTGAAATAGTAGATTGAGTACACTCATTGGAAAGGTAGACACCATATTATGCAAACAGTGTCATACAAAATGCTAAGATTTGGAATCAGAAATGTCTTCTCCTTCCTCTTTGAGTCTCTCCTCCCCTCCTCAGAATAAAACATGTCAACGGAATCACATCTCAGTGGTTCATGCAAACTTTCTAGATGACTTATCAAACAGGAGGAATTCCATGGCTGTTCTAGATACTGTAAAATGTGTTGGTAGCAGGCAGAACTATGCATTTCCATTTAATTAAGTTCAGTTATCACCAATGGAATGTTCAGGTTGTTCGCTATAAATCTGATTTGTACATATAATCTCCTTTGGTGTCTCAATAGCACTGAAAAATGTTAATTTCTCCTCATTGAAAAGCAATGAGGTCTTTCACAGAGCAGGATGGTGATCTCTCCCTGTTTCTGCTTTCAGCTGATATCCCTACTGTCATCTGTGATACACCCCAGAAGGCTTTGGGGCTGATAGAGAATGTGGAAAAGGGCCATACCCCAGGCCTGAAGATGATCATCCTCATGGACCCCTTTGATGATGATCTGAAAGAGAGAGGAGAGAAATGTGGAGTTGAGGTCTTATCCATGTCTGATGCTGAGGTATGAGCCTGAAACTCAGCCTTGGAAATGGACAATGGTCCAACACCAAGAACAAGTTTCAGGATATTTGCACAAAAGCACTGAGCTCTTATCAATAGTGGCGTGCAAGGAGTAAATCAGACTCATGTTAAGAAACTTGGAGAAAGATTTATTTGGGGGAGCAAATCGAAGGTTTATGCCAGATGCCGAGTGACTGGTCGCTCACATCTGTGATCCTAGCTAATCAGGAGGCTGAGATTTGAGAATGAGAGTTCAAAACCAGCCCAGGTAGAAAAGTTCATGAGACTTTTACTTGCAATTAACAACAACAACAACAAAAAACCCAACAACAACAACCTAGAAGTGTTCAAGCCCCACTACTGTCACACACACATTCACATGCGCGCATGCGCACGTGCCCCTCCCCCACATACATACATCATGCTAGAGATGGAGAAAGTTTTGTGGGCAGCATATACACTTCTGAGAATTATGAACAGAGAGTTTTGTAATCATTAAGGATATACTTCCTGGAGTCAAGCTGCCTGAGGTTATATGCTACTCCCACATCTGTTACTTATGTGGCATTGTGTTATGACCTCACATTGCTATTTCCCCATTCATAAGATATTAATAAAGATAGTCTCCATCTCACAGATGCATTGGGAAGCCTTAAATGATCTAGTGTATGTAAATTGCCCAAGCAAATGATTGATAACTTGTAGGCCCTGAAATGTTAACTGTTCATATTATTCAAAGAAGGATTAGTTATGGTTCTAGGTGATTTAATATTTAAAAAGACCATGGGAAGCTTAACAATTTAGGGTCTGCCTTCTTTAGGCTGTTCTAGAGGCACATAAAGTTTCTCTGGGAGTGGGGATCTCTATTATACCTCCATATTGGCTTCTGGCTTCTGGGCCTGTTCCAGGTTGAAATTTTGGTATTTCCTTAACAAATGTCTTTCTTTCTTTGTTTCTTCTTCATGTAGAATCTAGGCAAGGAAAACTTCAGAAAACCCGTGGTAAGTTTTCCTCTCCCTGAATGTGAGTTTTGTCCACTCTCAAAGGAGATGGTAGTCTAAGACCTTGTGCTTCTTTCTCCAGCCTCCAAACCCAGAAGACACAAGCATCATTTGTTTCACCAGTGGAACCACAGGTCAGTGTCCATGAGGCCCTGCCAGAGCCCCCTGAATTGTGAGCCTTGAGTACCTGGATACTGGCACACTGATGCACAAGTGCTGCCATCGGCCCTCTCCTTGGGTCTTCATCCTAAAGATTCCCAAATAGAAAAACACAAACATGGGCTGGAATGTGGCTGAGTGCGTGCCTAGCATGCATGCAGCCCTGGGTTTGATTCCTCAGTGTCACATAAACAGGAAAGGCCAGAAGTGGCATGGTGGCTTAAATGGTAGAGTGCTACGTTGGAGCAAAAGAAGCTCAGGGACAGTGCCTAGACCCCGAGTTCAAACCCCAGGACTGGCAAAAACAAAAAGAAAAACAACACAAGCATAAGTAAAAATAACCTTTATTCAATACACAAGGAGGTATTTACATGCTAATGAATTTCAGGGATTTTAAAGACAACATCAGAAAGTTGCTCTTTTTCTCCACCTAAAACTCTAAGCAATTCAACCCCATTGAGATGATTTCTTTCAACCAGAGTATCAGCATAACCTAAAGACATTTCTCCACAGATGTTTGTACATTCTCATAGGAGATGATTATGTTCATCTCATAGGAGACTTCATCCCTTTTAATATGGTACATGATAATCTACAATTACAGTCATTCCAGTATGCCTGGTTTTTAAAGATTTATAACAATATTACTAAGTAATAATATTCCATCTAAGTGGCATAAGAAAGTAGCAACATATGAGTAGCAACATTGACTGTGTTGCTATCTGAGCTTGGGGCAGTGCTCTGAGTGGTATTGAGTAGCAATGGTGCATTGAGTAGTAGAATCCTTGGGGACATTAATCATTCCTAAACAGAGGCATATGCATCCACAGAGACCTGGTGGCATACAAATCTCTTAACTGTCTAAACAGAACTAATTGAATCTAGCTTCTTTTTAATTTGTTGCTGGCACTGAGACTTGAACTCAGAGCCTTTCTGTTTTGCTCAACTTTTTCCACTCAAGGCTGATACTCTACCATTTAAACCACACTTCCACTTCCAGGTTAATTTGCTGGTTAATTGAAGATGAGTCTCTTGAATTATCTGCCTAGACTAGCCTTGAACCTCAATCCCCAGATCTGAGCCTCCTGAATAGTTAGGATTACATACAGGAGCCACTGGTGCCTGGCTGAATCTAGCTTCTTCAATTTCAAGGCCAAAAGCTACAATTAATCACATAAAAGATTTTTCTCTCTACATGTTTCCTACAGGTAATCCCAAAGGAGCTATCCTAACTCATCAAAATATTGCTTCAAACACTGCTGGTTTTCTCAAATGTCTGGAGGTCAGTGGTCAATTGAAAAATAAACACTGGTTAAAAATGTAAATCAGAGGGCTGGGATGGTGGCTCAGTGGTAGAGTGCTTGCCTCACATGCATGAGGCCCTGGGTTCAATTCCTCAGTACCACTTAAGCAGAAAAAAACAGGAAGTGGCACTATGGCTCAAGTGGTAGGGCTCTAGCCTTGAGGTGAAGAGCTGAGGGACAGTGCTCAGGCCCAGAGTTCAGCCCCCACAACCGACAAAAAAAAACCCAGATATAAGATTTAAAGTTCTTAAAGTTAGAAGAGGCAGAGAAGAGAAAGAAAAACAAGCTAAAGGCCTAAGTTGTAAGGGTGGGCAAACCCTATTTTAGTCTTATTGGCAGAACTGTACATTTAAGCCTCACTCTTCTAGGATTACTGCAAATCTCAACACTCTGCCTAGTTCAAAGCAGTGCCTAAGAGTTATCTAGTATGTGGTACACTGTGGGAGCCCTAAGCAGGGGTGGTTTTTAGATCTCCATAAGAGAGATTTGGTATTAATCCATCATTATCTCCTCTTTGTTTTCTGATCCATAGCATGTTTTCCAGCCTACTCCTGATGATGTGACCATATCCTACCTCCCCTTGGCTCATATGTTTGAGAGGATTGTACAGGTGAATATCCTGTGTTTCTAGCATGTGTGTAAAAAGGGGGATTCTATCTTTTTTTTTTGCCTTGCCATAATCTCTTTTTTTTATTTATTTTTTATTTGTGAACATACTGTACAGAGGGGTTACAATTACATGGGCAGGATAATGCATACATTTCTTACCAAGCATTGCAG